AATCCAATTCACCCCACCTAATTCCTTTTTGCCTTGTCTTCCCTGACTATAAAATAGGGATAATAAAATTTCAGATAATTGCTATCAGAATAAATTCAGTAATACTGCTTTCTTAGAGTAGTTCTTGGCTATAGTAAGCACTCCTTAATGGTAACTGCTACTCTGATTCTAATTCTTATTATCATTTTCTTATTGTCTTATATCATACCTCCAGTTAGAATGAAGATTTATTATCCTAGATAGTGTTTTTTTTTTTTCTCACTAAGGTGACTGTGTCAGTCTTAGTTCTTTTCCATTAAGTGTGGAATCCATGAGTTAACATTCAAGTTTGGCCTCCTTTTGAAGTTCTTGGCTATGTACCACAAGGTGAAATATACAATATGCTTCATATTTTTGCCCCAAAGAACCCAGTTCTCTGATGGAAATTTCTTATTTCCCACTTACCAGTGAAGTGAAGCAGAGAGAAAAAAGAAAACAGTGAGAAAAATAAACTGAAAATGGAGAAACCAGAGGAAATGTCTGAGGTGAAATCCAAAGCTTAATGAATAAGAAAAGTCAAGTGAAAAAAAAAAATTACAGAGAAACACTATGTGGATATTTTGAGTCTCAGTCTGGCCTCTTTTTCCAGCCCTTTAACTGACAGGGAAGGAAGTCAACTATTTCCTTAGCAATGGTTCTTCAACCCTTTGATATCAGAGGCTGAGCATGTATCCCAAAAGTGCTAGCTACAGTTTTAAGGGCTTCATGTACCTTGTGAAAAATCACTGAGGTACTGCAAATAAATAACTGGTTAAGCCTGGATGCTGTGGTATATTGTTAGAGTAATTTTCAGTGGATGAACATGCTGTGTGAATTATCTTTATGTATTTAAGATCTTAACTTCTCAGTAGTGTAGTATCAAATAATGTCAATAACTGTGTTCATTATAATAGGTGATTTTTAAAAATTATTAATAGGCTATTTCATTGATGGTGGCAAATAAAATGTGTGGTTTAAACATGCAAAATATATGCATGTCCTAACTGGTATGTATAATCATTCATTCCCTAACTTGCTGAAAAGCCAAACACCTACTCACTGCAGCTGTGCTGTGTGTGACGCATTTTAGGGGTGAGCAAAATGATGGTCTCAGCACTTATGGGACTCACAATCTAGCTTTTGTTCACCTCTATATAAACTTAATTTTTATTTCCTAATAAAAAAAGGATATAAGAAGTTGTCACATCCTCTAAACACTGAGGTTTAACAAATGACTTGAGATAATAGAGAACAAATCAACATCAAGCTAAATATTTTCCTAACTAAATTCTAAATGATATGGAAACTGTTAAGAGACATTTAGCACGCCTGTTTTCTTTATCAAGATGTATTCTAAGAACTGAAGTTGTGGCTCAGTGGTAGAGCATTTGCCTTAGCACATGTGAGGCACACTGGGTTTGCTCCTCAGCACCACATTAAAAAAAAAAAGAATAAATAAAGTTATTTTTTTAAAAAGATATATTCCAAATATCTTAGCATCATTAATAACATGAATTGAATAAATAGCAATAAATTTAGCTTTAAGAAAGTGCTATATTTATTTAGAATTTTTGGATAAATTTAGTAAGTATGGAAAACAAAAAGCACAACAGATTCAGAATTTTATCATCTAATTAGTATTTGTGTAACTTTTACATAAAAATTTCTTCCATAAGAACAAACTCCTTGAGGCACATTATTGTGTCTGAGAATCTGGCATACAGTTATTACTAAATTAAAATCATATTCAAAGCTTTTATTATTTAAAAGTAAATGAACAAATTAATTAATGAATAAATAAATGAAATGAAATTGTAAATCAACTCAATGCAGTTATTTTAACTTACAGAGATTGTAATCAAAGTTTGCATTAATACTTTTATATCCAAAAATATACTTTTCAAATTCATATTCAACCAAGACCTTAATGTGAAAGATTTAAGTTTTTTTTATTTTTAAATGTTACATATTTTTATTCTTTTAGATATATATGACAGTAGAATGTATTTTGACATACATACATGCATAGAGTATAACTTATTCTAATTAGGATCTCATTCTTGTGGTTGAACATGATGTGGAGTTACACTGGTTGTTTGTTTATATGTGAAAAAAGAAAATTATGTCTGATTCATTCTACTGTCTTTCCTATTCCCATCCTTCCTCCCTTCCCTTCACTCCCCTTTGTCTAATCCAATGAACTTCTATTCCCCACCCCTGTTGTGTGCTAGCATCCATATATCAGAGAGAACTTGAAAGATTTTACTAATAAATTCAGCTGGGTTTGATGAATTTAAAGGCTTAAAAATCATCTTATTCTCTTATTATTCTTTGTTTTTGTTTTTACTTGTTATATTCCTGACCTACACTTTTGTGCCCATATTAATTACCTGTTACTGCTGTCCTTTTACAAGTTGTTCAACTTCAAAAGTGGTGGCATTATTTCCCCCAGACATACTTCCACCAATAATTATCATTCCTTTTTTGTTTCATTTGCGTGTTATAATACTAATGGTTAAAATTACACAAGTCAGATTTATGAGATGAAACCATAGTAAAATATAGAAAAAACACTTGCAATGTCAGCTAAATACTATGATTTAAAATTTTAAAAACTTCATTGCATCTTTGAAGGTCACTGACTTTCAGAAATAGGTAGTGAATTGGTAAATCCTTCTATATGTTCATTACTGGGGAATAATAATATAAAATATTGTGACCGATACAGCAGTGTTTTGATGATTTATTGGCAATTGGCATAACCACATAATTTAATATCACGGAGTCTGCTCTAATTATAGCATATAAAGTGGTAGGAATTGATGTCATTCAGAAATTTAAATATATGCATTTGGAAATAAAACTGCACATTGCATAGTGAGTAAGGCATAACTGAACAAATAATTCCTCATTAAATTTCACTAAATATGATAAATGACAATTCTCCAACTTTTACAACACTCTTTTCAAATTGAATGTTTATAGTAGCCATCTAGGACTTGAAAGAAAGGTAACTGAGAAACAAGATATGAACTGTCTTTATGTTAAATGCAACAAACCAGCCCAAAACTCAAAATGAGTCCCACTTCCACCTCCAGGTGAACATTATCAGTGTGTTATTGTTTCAATATGAGTTGTCCTTCAAAAGTTCGTGTGTAAGAAAATGCAAAAATGTTTCAAGGTGAAATGATTTGATTATGAGAGCTTTAACCTAATCTGTGAATTAATCCTCTGATATGGACTAACTGAGTGGTAACTAAAGGCAGGTAAGGTATGGCTTGAGGAAGAAGATCATGAGGACTATGTTTTGGGGATTTATATTTTGTCCCTGGTAAGTAGAGTTTTCTCTCTGCTTCCTGGTTGCTATGTCCTGAGCAGCTTCCCTCCGCTATGCTCTTCTGCCATGATGTTTTGCCCACCTTGGTTCCAGAGGTATGGAGTTGAACCTCTGATATCATGAGCCAAAATAAACTTTTCCTCCTCAAAGTTGTTCACAGCAAATGCAAAAGCTGGCTCAGTGTTTCAAGTCAGTAACTTGAGGATTAGATTTCAATATTAGTGTTATGGTATAAAAATGTTATCCAGCCATTTTTTTAAAAAGTGCCTCCACCAAAGGAATATTTTCATAGAATATATCCTCCTAACAAAAGATAATTCTATATGATTTTAGACAAGTTTACTAGATAGGCTTTAAAGTTCTAAATTATTGTGCCAGAATTAGGACAAGGGCATATTAAATGATTCTCAGTTCATCATTTTTTGTCTTTTTGAAGAACACCTATGACATAGTATTAATCTCTGGGGATCAATATGGATACAGGCTTTCATGAGAAATATGTTTACTGACCTTAATAAATCTTCAAGTGTGTAAATACAGAAATATTTGTAAGGCAATTTTCTGCTAAATTAGATTTTTCCTATGTACATTCTTATACCACATATA